CAGAAAGCTGTATTGCATATTGCCCAAAATGCCACAGAGTAAATCAAGAAGTCTGCTCCAAGAAGAAGACAGCACTGCTCAGATGTTTCTTCGGCTGACAGAAGCAGAACTGATCTAGTGAAGTGTACTAGTTTTGACTGAGGTAGAGTTAATTTTCTTCCCCGTGGCTGGTATGGGGCTGTGTTTTGGATTTGTGCTGAACACAGGTTGATAACATAGAGACGTTTTTGTTATTGCTGAGCTGGGCTTGCACAGAGCCAAGGTGTGCTGAGTGATCTGCAGTTTTGGACTCCACCTCACAAAGTTGAGGCAGTGATGCCTCCCTCCCCTTCTCCTGGGACCTATTCTCTTTTTCATGCTCTGGTATGTTCAGACTGTTAGAGTTAAGAATCTTCTAAACTAGCTCTTCCACCATAATACAAATCTCCTCTGATCTCTAATTTTTTTCCCTAGTGCCATGAAACCACGGTTTCAGATTTGTTAATTTTTACATTTTTGTATAAACCACAATATATATTTGCGTTCTGTAGTATGGAACTATAAGGCTAATAACACCAAATAAATCGCCTAGTACTCTTGTAATAGATGTGTAAGATTTGTGGTATCTTTAAACCATCCACTGCAGGTTTTGAGCCCTTAATTCAGCCAATACTTCTTTAGACTGCAATGTACTGCTGCACCACAAATCTGAGACCAAAAGCCAATGTGACCCCTTACTTTTGAACGCCATAGAATGAATTAGTTGCATACAGGCTGCAGAGACATTCTTGTGAGCACATTTTACATTGCTCAAAAGTATATTTACAATGACAAGGAACTTTTCAATATAGTTCAAGAAAAATAGCCATAAAGTTTAAAATCAGTCTGAATCTTCAAATGTAACAATTACATAACAAAGATAACAACTGCAGATCTCAATAAAAAATTACTCCCTACTTTTCACCTTATTTTGCAACTTCAGTTGACAGTGGCACAATAAAAAAGCTTTTATTTTAATATGGATAGCTGATATGGTTAAGGTTAAATTCAATTTTGGGAAGGTTTTGAAAAAGTATTTCAAAAAGGTGTTAATTTTGAAAAAGTTTAATTTTCCTAAGCTTTTCCTCTACTTCTGCTATTCTGTCAAACATTTATTGTAAAATCTATATAAAGAGATTTTGTTTCACTAGGATACAATGCTTCTATGAGATAATTGATATGTCTCTGACTTATTTTCAGTAAAGATATATCGGTTGTCCTTGTTTTGCTTCTCCTTTGCTTCCTGCATCACAGCCACTGAAAGATGGAAACAAAACAGAGAAAACTATTTTGATTTTTTTATGATAGGCAGATTGAAAAGCAAGCTGGTATTTGTTTTTTAGGTGGAAACAAATTAAATGCTAAAGTATCATTATAAGTTCTCTGAGAAGTTGCACACCTTTACCTAATTCCTGGATCTTGACTGTGAAACACAAATGTGCTTTAAGCAGGTTGGAAGCAATCCTATTATAGCTGACCTCCCTCTGCTATTTGGTATACCATATATCTTCTTTAGATTGCATATCTGAGGTACAGGGTGATAAGCACTTTATTTGAAAATCTATCTTTAGACTCCTCTGAGAGAGATTCTTTCTTTTTCGATACAGTCTTCACTATGACCACAAGATTCATCTGACACTTGAAAGCCTAGGAATTTATGTCTATTTCTTTTTAAAACTTTTTTTGAGAAGTGTAATTTCAGCCTTATATAACTCACTGCACTATTTAAACACACATGGCTTTCAATTAAAACAAACTTTCATATACTCATTTGCAGCTACAAGTGGTCTTATGGATGTCATTGGCACTACTCAGCTATATTTAGTTAAGTTCACGTGTCCACATACTTGGAGACTTTTAAAATAGATTTTTCTTTCTCATAAATCATCATATTGCATCATAGACAAGCCCAGAAGGGCCCTCAAAAGATCTTCTACATTTACTGCCCTAGGGGCTTCATTCTCAGTTGCTTTTTCGTAAGTATCTTAATGTTCATTCATTCCCCTTAAGTCATGTCTTACATCTTACTTCATTTTTCCTGCAGGTATAACTTGAGGCTATCTGCCAAAACCCTCCTTAATTCACAGTAATGTATGCCTGCAGCAAAGCTACAGAGTTATCTATAGAACAGACAGATACAGATTTATAGAAGTGAGGAAGGGGTAAGGGTTATGGCTCCAGGATTATGTGAACATGGGAAATTTTGATAATTTATTTTCAGCTAGTATTAATTTTAGAAATGTGCAGGGGTTTTTAAGAATAAGATTAAAAAAGTGAAAATGAGGTATTTAGTGCCACCATAATGAGCAGTGGTAAGCAATTACAGCAGAGGAGTGGCACGAGCAGGACAAATAGTTCAGCAATATTTCCTACATAACCCAGTAAAAATCTGGAGACCTTTGAGATGGAAGGACACCTCAGCAAACTAATTACATTAGGTCCTCAATGATTTATAGAAGCTATTTTTCATGATCATACCTTCAATTTTAATGACGATTCTGAACTCCAATACTTCTGCTCAAGACCTGTAGCTTTAACCAGTCTGGTGTAACTGGTTAATTTAGTACCTATCCTATCCACTCCGTCATTGCAGATGCTAATAAGGATATTGAATAGTGTTAAATATCAAAAATATTGCATTGGACCGCCTTGAAAGAGTTCTATAGCCATTCACAACTACTCCTTCAGGGGCTTCTCTCTTATTTTTGTACATATTTATAGAAGTTTTTATTCTCTCCTGAGAAGTCTCATTTTGACAAATCATATAAATAACCAACACTAGGATTCCACCAATCACTTCTCGTATACCCATCTCTTTCCAGCAGAATCTTGCAATATTTGGTGGAATAAGCATTCCTGTTTATGGTCAATGCTTTGGAACAGTAAGCCTTGTAAAAGACACTGGTTAGAAAGAGATCAATAGTTCAACATGATATATACATACACCAGAAAAACTCCACCTATGGATTTAGTAGGCTGAGAGGAAGAAAGAAGTGCAAAACAACTGTATGAAATTTTTGCAGGTGATCACTACTGAATGAAGCATTCGATTAGAGGCTCTGTTTTAAATCTGCCAGTTGCTAAAGTAATCTGATAAAGAAATTATCAGAATGTTAATAGCTACTATTGTAAGCATTCTTTTGTCACATTTGTGAAGATAATATGTGAAATAATTCCACTATAGTTGTGGAACTTCTAACATAAAATATTTTGGAAATTTTAAGCTAAACTTTTTTTATCAAAATAAATGAAGTGATAACAAATTACTATCAGAAGTACTTACTCCAAAATAGATTTCTACTTCAATTTATAACATTCATTTCACAGAATCTCAGAATCATTTAGGTTGGAAAGACCTTCAAGATCACCGAGTCCAATCTCTGACCAAGCACTGCCTTGTCAATCAGATCATGGCACTAAGTGCCACGTCCAGTTGTTTCTTAACACTTCCAGTGATGGTGATTCCACCGCCTCCCGGGAAAACCCATTCCAATGTTTACCAACCCTTTCTGTGGATAATTCTTCCTGATATTAAACCTAAACCTTCCCTGGCACAGTGTAAGGCCACTTCCTCTTGTCTTATTTCTAGTTGCCTGGGAGAAGAGCCTGACTGATCCCCACCTGGCTACAGCCTCCTTTCAGGCTGTTGTACAGAGTGATAAGATCTCCCCTCTGCCTCCTTTTATTTATTTTTTTTTTTCCAGGCTAAACACCCCCAGCACTCTCAGCTGCTCCTTGTAGGACTTGCACTCCAGACCCTACACCAGCCTCATTGCCCTTCTCTGGACATGCTCCAACACCTCAATGCCCTTCCTAAAGTGAGGGGACCAACACTGAACACAGGATTTGAGGTGTGGCCTCACCAGTGCTGAGTACAGGAGGACGATCACTGCCCTGGTCTTGCTGGCCACACTATTGCCAATCCAGACCAGGATGCCACTGGCCTTCTTGGCCACATCAGCCTATTTCCAGCTCAATTTCAGCTGCTGTTGACCAGTAACCCCAAGTCCTTTTGTGCTGGGCAGCATTCAGCCACTCTTTCCCAAGCATGTAATGTTGCCTGGGGTTGTTGTGGCTGAAGTGCAGAATCTGGCACTTGGTCTTATTGAACCTCATACTGTTGGCCTTGGGCCATCAATCCAGTCTCTTCTGGAGAGCCCTCCTCCTCTCCAGCAGATCAACACACCCCCAACTTGGTGTTCTCTGTGAATTTACTAAGGGTGCACTTGGTCCCCTCATCCTGATCATCAATAGGGATGTTGAACAGGTCTAGACCCAACACTTTTAGGGGGATGGAATGTAGAAGAAGAGAGAGAGTGCAAAAGGCAATCTCACGTCTGAGGAGTTGCAGCTGTACTAATTAGCAAAGAGTAGGAACAGGCCTGCCCTTAATAGGCCACAGCTGTGTCCAATAAGGATGAGTGCTGTAAAAGAGTGGGTTAGCTGGTCAGGAGGTGACTGGGAGTTTGTTGGCTGTGCTGTGAGGAGTTGCCCATGAGAAGGTATGGAAGACCTGCAATAAGATGAGAACAAACTAATCTGTGGGGTCACCTCTGGAGACTGGTTACTAACTGGATGTGGTACTGTTGACCACCATCCTCTGGGCCTGGCCATCCAACCAATTCTTAACACAGCAAACCTATGTAAGCTGTGGGCTGACAGCTTTTCCAAGAGTATGCCATAGGAGACGGTACCAAAGGTTTTGCTGAAGTCCAGGCAAAAAACATCTGCAGCCTTACCCTGACCCACTAGGTGGGTCACCTTATAAAAGGAGACCAGGTTAGTTAGGCAGGACCTGCCTTTCCTAAACCTGTGCTGGCTTGGCCTCATCCCTTGGTTGTCCTGTATGTGCTGTGTGATTGCACTTCAGATTCTCTGTACCATAGCTTTGTGGGGCACTGAGGTTAGGCTGACAGGCCTGGACTTATCTGGATTCTTCTTCCAGCCCTGTTTCCTTGGAGTTCAGAAGTAAAGTGTTTTACCTTTGCACAGGAAAGGCTGATAATATGTTGATCTTTCTCATTTGTCACAATTTCCACAATACCATGTTTGTGTCCTAATAGCTTCCCTGTAGGACTAAAATTAACAACAGGATTCCACAAACGAAGGATTCTGTCATTACCTGAAAGAAAAGAAGTTAATATGTAGTCAGAAAGACTGAATAGTCTCTTTGAAAGCTTAGTGTTCATAAGTCTGTCCTTTCATTTTGGTAGACTACTCCCACATAAGGATGTGAATTTTTCATTCTAAGGGCTGGATTGCAGCTTATGTTTCATTGCTTAACCACAAACATATTAAAAATGCACAACTGATTAGCTTTTCAAAGCCTTTTTATTTTGCTAAAGGAATGGCAGGGACACTGAATGAGACTATGTGGACTAGTCCCAGAGGAGCAGAGTACTTTAAAAGAAATACAACTGTGGCTCATATTTTGTTTCCTTCAATGATGTAATTTAGAAAAATGTAAAATAAAATTGTGTTCAGTTAGCCAGGACACAAAGGGATAACCTCCTTTATGGAAGAAGGTGAACATCCAGAAAGGACTGGGCATGGAATTTGATGGCAGACAGAAAAAAGTAACCACTGATGATTGAGTTTCTAGTAAAGTAAATGAGAATTAGGTATTTCATACTTATTTATATGTTAAAACTTTGAATTTGCCTACAATTTAAGGAATAATCTTTGATTGTGTTATAGGTGAATGTTTGGTACTATTTTGCTAATAGTTCTATAAATATTTCAAAACACAAGGATGTTAAAAATTTATTTTAACTTTTAATTCCTGGCAAATATTGCAATTGTACGAATTGTATGCATCTAGCTGAACAGTTTATTTTGACATACAATAAAAGAAACAACCACATTTTGTCTAAACTTCTGCTTGAGTTCTACTTTTCTCTCAGCTTAAATTGAAGAGCAAAAAGCAAAAAAACCCATAGACTAGGAAGTATATGTCCCAAGAGAACCAGCTCAATTATGTTAAGCGCTCAGCTCAATTATGTTAATAATCTCCCTTCAGCTTGTTCAACCTACTGTCATTAGACAGTCTCTCGATTTCTCTCTACAGAAATCTATTCCTTTCCTTCTTAATGCAGCAAGATGTGATTTGTTTAGGAGCACCCCATCTCCCTTTTCCTCCATTAAACAATATTGTTCTCTCAGTTAAATTGATTCCACTGTTTATGTGGCTTCTCTCTAAATGAGAGACGCTCACTGAAGGAATGATCTACTTTTAAAATAGCTACAACAGAAAGCCATTTTGATTTATGCCAGCTCATTTCACAGTGTGATTGAGAATTCAACTATGCAAACAGCTGTACCAGCACAATGGAGGGATAACCTCTGCACAGGAAAGGAAGGCCATGTGTAAGTAGCTGACTGGCTTGAAACTTCAAGGGGAAAAGATTCTTTTCTAGGCAAAAGTACCCTAGGCAATCTGTATGTGCTATAAGCATAGCAGAAAGTAGCCTAAATGGGTTATAACTGAGCAAATGGTTTACAAAGCCCTTTTGGATGGGGAAACTTCAGAATGTGGTCAACATCCCTGCTCACTTCCTCTGAGTTTGTGTTAGGCTGTCCCAGACATGTCCTGTAAATTAGCAGAACCCCTGTGACCAGGTCAGGGTTTAGGGTGAAACAAGTCCATGGGAGTAAAACTCAGCTTGCAGACCTCCCATCAAGAAGGACATGAAATACAGAAGCCTCCAGTGAGACTGGTGAGATTGGTTTTAATATCAGAGGGAACAGACATTGCTTCAACAATATGCCCCTTACCAGCCCCAGACAGAAACTGTCATGTCTTAAGATGATGGAGAACTGAGAAGAAGATGTTGACAATATCTGATCAACTTGACTACCTGCTGGCTGCCATTTTGAGAAACAGAACCTTTCATGGTCTTCCTGACTTCTCTGTTCTTTATATTCCTGAAGTGACAGCAGTGATTGAAGAGGAGGATAGTGCCCTTTAATTCTGGCACAGAGTTTCTTTTAAGAGTAGAATCACTTAACACATGTAATTTACTTCAGATATTAACAGGAAGATCAAGTGACATTTGGGAAGAAAACCTTTCCCTACATTAAAAAACTCTGTTTGCTTTTTATGTGAAATAGTGAATTCATTTTAGTTCCTTTTACTGATGTGAAGATAATGGTAGATTCTATTATAGTTGATGTGCTCTCTTCTCTCTTTCTGGGCTAATGCCAGATTGGCCCTAAGATTCACTGCTATCCTGGAACATTTCCTGGAACATTTGTTCTCTCCATGCTCCAAATATGCCTCCAGGATTCAGAATCCTGAAAGTCTGGGTACCAAGCACATTCTGGAAAAGCTTGAAGAAGTTGATCTATTCAACAGCAATTTAAAAAGATTTTGTAAAATCAGTGATTTAAATCAAAACAGATGCAGTTGTGTATGGTCCTTTTCATGACAAACAATTATAAAACCAGATGTTTAGGGTTTTTTAAAAAGCTAGATTCTACAACCACAGCTGAATTCTAACTAGATGTTATGGACTCAAATAATTTCTTTGAATGTGTGATGCTTTGTCTGTCTCTCTTGCTGACACAGTTTTGCAATTTGTGTGGTATTACAAGCCTGAGATGTCTGCCTTTCAGTGGTGTTGAAATCCACTTGAGAACAATAACGTATTTGAATGGAGAAATACTAGGATCAGCCTGGAATCCTCAAAAGACTGTAAATGAAAAATATACCTCCTGTTTTCTTTCTAGGCTGCTACTCCTACACAGAAAACTCCTTAACCTTTAAAAAAACTTGTCTTTCCTTCAAATCTGTCTTGTAAATAATCTTGCCCTATAGTATCTGCAAAACTTTTCAGAACAGTCTGACATCTGAGGAACTAGTTTGTCATACTGACAAATGTCTCTGTTTTATTTTTTTCTTTGTGCTTCCTTGTCTGTCTTTGTATGCTCTTTTTAAATTTAGATGGCATCATACAAAAGAGTTTGCCATGCTTCTGACAGCTAATGCTAGAGAAGTTCTGGTGACTTCTATCACTGGGATTCCTAGGAATTCCTGAAAATGTGCTTCACTTGTTCCACGAATTCACAAAGGAAACTGAACAAGCACAGTGTAGCTCATTTTATTAGTCTTAATCTGTTACTGTTAGATTTAGAAATCACTAATAGTTTTTCTTCTGGTTCATTGCTCACAGGAAAACAGCCAGATTTGAAGAAGTAATAGGGTTAGAAGTTGATGTATCATTTAAAACTGATCATCTCCTGCTTTTATATGCATTCCTAATTAGATTTTAACTGCAGTCATTCCTTGAAGTGATGATTAAGACATAGCTGGAATTGAAATTAATATAGAATAAGAAAAAAAACATGTAAATTTACCATTCAGTGTAATATTAATGCAACATGCTACACAGAGAAGGGCTCCATATTTTAGGCCACTGTCAGGCTTTTATCATTTTACTGATTGAAATCTAGCCTTAAGCATGAAAAGCAAACTCAGTACTATGTTTGTTTTTATCTTATTCATTTTTATAAGTTTCAAATATCTAGAAGACAAAATTAGGTTGTGTCATAGTACTGACAAACTCATAAGCATAATCAAATACAAATAAACAATGAAAGACTATGTTAAAATATGACTTTTAAAATAGTCACAGTGACAATTCATCACAGTATGTAACATTCCATTTGTGCTATAAGCACCCACCTAAATAACATTAAGTTGGGGCTTACTAAAATGTTTAGCAGATTTACCCCTGATGAATACTTTAGAAGCTAGCCTGCCATCAAAGGCTGGATTTTTCTTTTATGTTAGTTGCTGCATGAGACAAATAAACATAGCTTTTACAAATGTTTGAACATGTCACCAAGAAATCTATATATTATGATTCCTGAATTATTTACCTCTTATGGACTCTCATTTTTAGGGTATATTACAGGTAAAATTGCAGGCTCCCTAATTAACAGGACTAGCTTATGTTAATTTTAAATAGTTTAAATCTGTCATTGATTTGGATCATCAAAGTGTATTTTTCAATTAGTTAAGAGTGAGATGACTTTTAAGATACAGAGGCAAACATAGTGTGCTCCAGCCTGATGGTATGCTGTGCCATTGTGAGCAGTGTATTCCATTAACAGAGCGCAGAATTCTAAAGCTCAGCTTTTGAAGGCTTTAGTAGAGGGATCTCTCCAGACCTGTAGCATTATTCTAAATTCACAGTAGACCATGACTGATCTAACTTCACAGTGAAATTGAAAGAGATGACCCCACCCTGTCTTTGTCTTTGGACAGGCATTCCCACTGTGCTCTGGGACTCTTAGTAATACAGGTCAGGAATAATTTCCTTTCATATTCAAGGGGAGCAGCAGGGCTAAGCTTTGGGAATGAGGATGAGAGGAAGGAGGATGTTCTTCAATTACAAGATGAAGGATGGTGGGTGAGCAAGCAAGACAGGATTCCAGCTCAAGTACTTTCGGTACTTTTCTGCAGCCGAAGTCAAAACAAATTATAATTCAGTGTGGAGAAAACTCATCTGCTTCTAAAATATCCTGATTAGGGATATTTGAGATTTGTTGAGATGAGATAGGAGCTCCTGCATTCTGAGTCTGTCCTCCAACCATCACAAGCAAGTATGCAACCTAACTTTTTCAAAAATCCAAGCTCCATTTAAAACTGAGAATATTTTTCTGCAATTGCCACTATTCTGAAGACTCTTCCTGAATATCACTGTTCTAATTTTTGCTCTAATAGACGTCAGTGGCATTCCTTGTTAATTGTAATTTTTTTAGGTTTTAAAATTTCTCTACTTTTTAAATCTCTGCACAATGGTGCAGTTAGAGCTTAGGTCAGTTGGTTAGAGCCTGCTGCTATAAACACCAAGATTGAATCACTTTATGGGCCATTCACTTAAGAGTTGGACATGATGATTGTTATGGGTCCCTTCCCTCACCCTTTTTCCATATTCTATATACTTTTCTATATTCAACTAATCTTTCTCAAATATGGTTCATATCAGCAAGACAGAGCCAGCATACATGCCTAGGGCAAGTGGTTTTGCATGATTGACCTGTGACACAAGTGTTTACTGCTGGTCACTGACAAAGTGGGCTGAGTGCATTAGGCAGACCTTTGGTCTGGCCTACCACAGCTATTATAATTTTCTTAGAAAGTTTATCTGATTTTTCTTTTCTGTTATTTCCAGAAGAAGAATTTTCAGTGTGTAAAATAAACTTTCTCTAGCTCCTTTGTGACCTTCTTTCCTATTCAGACACTTCATCCTGGTTTTATTACTACAGCAGAATCCTCCTATACCTGTAGGAAATAGTGACCACATTTTGTTCAATAGGACCTCCCTACTTTGTCATCAATTAATTTCTCCAGACTACTTTTTTTTGTGACAAGTTAATCAGTGTAAACAGTATCTCCTCCAAGGCTAAGCTTCAAAATTTTCACTAATAACTCTTCTACAGCTTTTCCTTTAAATCTTCTGCCTAGAAAATCAACAGAACTGCCTGATATTTATTTTGATATCTTTCACACTTTTCCTCTTGGTAAACTGTTACAATTCAACATGAATTGCATTATGTCCCATATACTGCCATGTATATTATCAAGGCTGGACAGCAGAGTCTTGGCCATTTTTTAGTTCTTATATATAGATGTAAGAATTATTATGTTTGCTATTGCAATTTTTAACAAAGTTTTAAGCAATAAAGACTTGAAGAAAAGCATCATCAATGTCACTTGAGGGTGCCACCCTATCAGACAGAATATATCAACAAGGTTGCTGCCATACTCCAGCAACTTTTCTGCAGCATCAAACATGACCACTGCAGTAGACAGGCCCATAAAATTATTGGCTAACAGGGAAGAAGTGGATGTAAGAGTGCCATTTCTGCAGTCTGCTGTGGCAGAAAGAACCAACAGTAACACTTCGGGGAAACATGACCACAGAGACCAATGGAAAGTATTAAGATGGGCCAATGTGACTGCTTAAGATATGAAAGGATGGCGGAAGAGTAATAGGGTGGAAGATCTGCTGATACTGCAAGGAATAACGTGTATAACCTGGTCAAGGTGACTTGGAAACATATCTTAGAGTAGCTGAACATACTGTTTCTTCTGGTTTATTATATAAATAATACTTGCATCAAACCCAGATGGACTCCTTGACAGATTCCTGACAGGAAGTATATCTCTTCAGAAAAGGGCTGAGAGAAATTAAAAGCAAGGCCTCTGTTTCCTCTAATTGTAGGCAGAAGCCATTGTTGAAATTCTTAAGATGCTAACTCAGCTTTATTTGATCTTATTTAATGCGAATAAAAAAATTCGCAATATTTTCCAAGAAGAATCTCTTGGAAAAAACCCAATACTTACCTCCAGTGACAATGACTTTTGCCTTTCCACAGTATGTGAAGGCATTTACTCCTTTTGGGACAGAAAATTCCTTTACAGGTCTGCAATCATTAATAAAACAATCATGTGAGAAATATTTGGAAAATACAGTCTATATTAATTTTATCTTATTTTTCTGTAGTATACAGAATAGCTGTTTGTATAATGTATGCAATCTCATGTTAAAAGCAAATTGATTTGCAACAGAGACTTAGAGTGATACTGGCATCAACAAAAAAGGAACAGAGTGCACTTTCCATTAAAGAAATAAATATCCGATCAGCACACCTGAATCTTTTAACAGGCAAACTCCAAACAGACTCCTAAAATGGCAGCTGTTGCCAAAGTAAGCCGCACACGAGCTTGTGTGCTTAAAGCAGTTTATCACTACCAAAGAAACTGTGTTTGCTTGTTTCATGGAGGTCTACTGTGATCTCAATTAAGTTACATTAAGTAAGTGCAGTTACTTTTCTGTTGCTTCTCTATAATGTATTGTACAATTAATGACATCTATTTTGTGTTGTATGTCAACATGAAGATATCACAAGTATCTGAAACTCAACAGTTATTCTACTACGTTCGCTGCTAAAGCATGGGAATTCAAACAGACAACACAGACTGAAATTGACTCAGCGTCTCTTCTAAACCCATCCTTTGAGCAACTTCTGCTTGTCTCTCCAAGTTTCATCCATTGCTACTAATGAGTGAATATTTTATTGCTTTTGGATGTAGCAATAGCAGGGTTAACACCTACCATTCCCAGGAAACAATGACTGCCAGTGTTAATAAGCTGTATAGAACTAAATGAGAATACTTTAAATTTTTTCCTTTGAAATTAGGACAAGTACTAGTTAATCTTCTCTGGGCTAAAGTAGCCATTAATATTGAAAACCATAAATGGGGGTTGCAGTAAATCTGACAAAAGACTTTGGAAACTTCGAGGAATTAATGAAAGGGCTTGTTATTTCTAGGCAGGTGTAAATAAAAGGCTGATTGCTTCCTATTATTTAGAGGGAGAAAAGATTTCTTTTCAGAACTGTAACAGAGAAGTCTTAATTCTCTTGACAGGACAAAATAACAATCAATTTATTTAAATATATGATTAACAGATTTCCTAAGGATTTTTCACCTTTTATACTTCTCTATAAGTGTCCTTTAGCTGTTCAATGGACAGTCTTGATACTATGCCAAGATCAATGGGAATAAGGGATTCTGGCACTGTGAAGTCCTGCCCAAGCCATGGCCTTGCAACAGAAGCATCTGGTGATCATATCCATACCTCCCATTTTAGATACCTTACAAGAAGATATTGTAGCTGTTCATCAGCCATTACTGACAAACAAACTTAAGTCCCATAAGAGAGAAGATGCACTGCATCCCTCTGAGTACCAAAACAATCCTTTGCCACAAAGTTAATTGGGGAAATTTCTTTTGTTAGAACCAGTAAATCATATTTTTAAACTAGTTATTTATTAAATGGACATTTCCAAGTGATCTGATCTATAGGTATTTTTAGGACTATTAATTTCATTTTAACAGCTGTGTATTTTTTCACTTGTCTATCTACTGTGAGAAACTGCTTAGAGATATGCATTTATTGCATTTGGAGATGCAACTATAGCCAGTGTGAAATAAGAAAGAACTACCAAGATTGTTGCAGTTTATGTTCTGTACTGAAGTATATGATAGTAGCATCTAATCTTTTGACTAGACTTTTGGCTCTGTAGACTTAGTCTTCTTTCTCTTCTGACTAATTCTGTTTTTCCAAAGCTCCCAACAAAAGCAAACGGGATTTCTCAGCTTTTCAACTGACACAGTATGTGACCTTGGACAATCTAAAAGTGTTTCATTGTTCACTTTCCCCATCCTCAACAGACATGCAATACTCATAAAATCCAAAGTTACTGTATTCATTCAAGAATAAAACCAAGAATATTTATGGCATGTGTTATACAAGAAATAAAACAGATTATAATAACTGTAGCTACTAGCCTTAAAAATCTATTAATCTCTCTGGATGTACATCAAAGAGGAACTGAGAAGCTGATCTAATATTTACAATCTTTTAAAACATTTGAATGAAAAGTTCTCTTTATATATTATTTGTAGGCCATTCTTTCATCAAATTGAATTTGTATTATTTAATTGTGCTACGAAATTTTCTAAATTCACAGACTAATTAGGCTTGGAATCAGTTAAATCAGCTAATAGCACTGATGAGCCATATGAATAAGGACTTGGCACAAATAAGGAGTCCATAACCTCTTTTCTGATGCATAGTAGAACCACTTCACAGCCCTTAGAATAAATTGTGTTCTTGGTTTAATCTTGAATAACTCAAACTTGTGAAAATAAAATTGTAAATGAAATTTAGTAGAGTTTATTTTTGACTGGGTATAAATTTTAAATGAATGGATACATGATATATGTGTAACAAGCCAATCAATTTTCTAACTAAAATTTGCTTGCTGAGGAGAAATTGGAGGAGACAACACTGTCAACAAAACATATTTTAAGGGTTCTGAGTACTGTTCATATATGGACAGTCCTCTCCTACATCAAAAGTTAGCACACAGAAATATCCAAGCATTTAAATAACTGTATTTTTGTTTTTATTAGCAATGGTAATAGAAGAGGCACATTCAGTACAACAGGATGACATCTTATGAGGCACTGATCTCCAGCGGAGTTATAAAGCAGAAGCTCTATTATTTTCTAGAAGATGTTTGATACTTACAGGTGGTCCTCTAGTCGCTTTATGTCATCCAAAACAAATGAATTAATACTGTCTGTGGAGCAGGATCCAAAACGTTTTAGGGCAGGAAAATACTTAATCTTCCCAACCCAGTCATCATGTAGCTTGCGTTTAGGACTAGGGATATAAACAGAGAAGTTATCAGGCTGCAGTAGCAACTACTGTGATGTGTCCGTAGGTGGACAGGGGTTTTGTCAGTGAGATTATATACACAACCAGTGCCAACATTTAATATCCAGGGCAGATACAGAACCACTCTTGCAGCTCAAAAGCAAGCAGAGAGAAAGTCGGGGTTGAACCATGCTCTTTTCTAGTCACAATCATGTTTCCATCTCATGCGGCACAAAAAAGCAGCTCCTTTGTCAAACTGGCTAACAGCAATTGTGAATTCTTCCCTTGAATTGTATTCTGCATCAGCTGTAAGATCTCTTGTAAAATCTTCTACTGAAAATGATGGCACTTCTTTCATACAACAACAAGCAAATCATACTTATTGCAGTTTGAAAAATCATTTTCTTCAGTTAGATGCGCTTAACTTAGAAAGGGAAGCTAATCCTCCACTTAGGGCAAACGAAACCCAAATTAAAAACAAAACAATGCAAGACTAAAAACATTTTATCATAAGCAACTTACGTGTCAAAAGATTCGGAGTCTAAGACTTTAAATTGTGATTCTTTTTCAGCTTTAGATTGTTTCATTATGAAGTCATCACTGGTGATAGTAAGCAGATAAACATAACCCTTATCATCTCCCATTAAGATGGTATCCTTAGCCAGGTTATCTGCCATAGTCACTGTACAAACGCAGAGCAGGCAGTTTTTCATGGGTTTGATGACAAAGCCATTACCCTGTGGAATGTGGTAGAGAGTTTATTAGATATTGCATGAGGGCCCTTAAATTGAATCTATCATGCTTATCTAGCTACATCAGCATTCAAATCTTGACCTTGTTTTTCAAGCTGCCCCTCTGCTATCTGTTTCTGGTATCAGAAACTCATAGAAGACCATGACAAAGTAGAGTTAAAAGCAAATCCTAGAGATTTGAGCAAGATTTTGTTTCAGAGGTAACTTTGCATTTCAGTGAAAAAGTATTAATTACAAATTCTAGGAAGGGCCTCTGCATACTATGTGGGATGGTGTATTTGCTAAGACTGTATATGGTTTCCTGTTCAAAACTAAAATGCTCTCTACAAGAAAATTGGAAATAACCAAAATAAAGAATAATTCAAACCACAAAATATAGCAGGAATACACAAGAAGAATCTATATCAGAGTCCTAATTTATAATACAGCCTGGGAGTGTCAAGTGTACTAATACAGGCAGGCATTTCAATTTTTGAAGCACAGAGATAGTGGGAATGAACACAGTTGCAAGACACTGTGGTATTTTGCTAGAAGGCACAGGAATGGGATTCAGGGTCACCTGCATTACATTGTTTATTGGTTCTACTGCCTGACTCCATCTGTCATTTGGTTAAAGCATCCTTGCCAACCTAAACTGGGAACTGTTCACATGCCATAGGAATTAACTGCATCAATGCTGTCTGCATAGCACAGAAACATTGGGGACATAATAGAGATAGGACTGTCCATATATTATTTCTGTGGTCTTGAAAGAGAGCTGCATCTATTCATCAACAGGATACCTGCAGCTCTCACTGCAGGTAATGAGGGAACTTGGACAATAATAGGTGGAGAATAAATATTTGAGCCCTCCTCCAAGAAGTCCGACTGGACTGACAAAAAGACTTAAATTGACCTATCTGATCCTGGGAAGCAACCTTTTAATATTGGAAAAAAAATCCTAAAAATTGTATCAAAAAAACCCCTACTTTGCTTCTCCTCATCATCTCAGCTAACTTGGAATTTCCAAAAGAAGTTCCAGGCACAGGAAGAAAAAGCGAAGATATGTGTCAGCAAAAGTGCATAAGACATTAAAGAAAACTCTGACAATTTGGATGTACATTATTAACATCAAAATGTTTTTATCTTAGAAAGTCCTGAACAAAACACAGGATATGAAGAAATATTTTCTTTAAATCAGGAAGTTACCTCAAAAAGAATCTTTGTTATATTCTTTGTAAAACCTATTCCTTTGATTCTTAATAGATTCTGAGATATATGTATGCCCATGTACACATTTTAGGTACACAGGTGCACATGTATGCACTAGATACACAAGGAAAAGAAAATCTTTGGGGGTTTGTTTGCACCATAGTGTAAAATTTTTGTTTTTCTTCCAAACTTTTAATATACTTTAATAATCCCATTTGGCATGTAGAGTGAATACATTTAGTGTGAATACTTTAGTGTGAATTCCGCTGTTTCACTGAGTTCCTACAACAACAAAAGTGAAAAGTCTTCATCCTGTTAGACCAAAGGGATGTGAATGTATCTTGGAAACAAAGAGTGATCAACGTTCAGGTTTAATTTTGGCATTTGTCTGATCCAACATAATACCTCGCTCTCTTTTGATTTATAGTCCCAGAGAATGATTGTGCTTTCAGTTACAGCCACGACCAATTTCAGATTAGGCAGGAAATCACATCCAGTGATCCAAGCAGTATCCTGGTGAAAATAAAAAGAGTAGCTAAAAAAGGATTTTCTCTGTAAATTTATCAACTTTTCTATCACGTAAGTACATATTTTAAACCATTTCCACATAAACCACATCTACTCTGCACTAGCACATGCTAGGTCTAGTTCCACTGAGAGTTCTAACTCCAGGAATAGGTCATACATGAAGTTACAGAGGCACCAGGCTCAACCTCTGTTATCAATGACTCACCTGAGAGGCACAAATGTTGCATGGGAGAGGACACAATAAATATATAGCGTTAGTCGAACTGTAATGTCACTCTGAAAAAGCACTCTGAGCAGAGAAAGCTCAAGCTAAAACATCATAGTAAAGCAGATCAAGCTTTTACCTGAATACAGTTTGGTTTGGAACAAAAGAAATTTAAAGGCAGTCTAAAACTTCAGCTATAAAAACGAAACTGAAATGAATGTTTATGAAAATAAGTAACTTTAGTAAATAATTTTAATTCCCCCAATAGGTAGGTCAACTATTTACAAATATGTACATTTGCCCATATTAAGCCATTGTTCAAGTATACCTCTTATTATACAGGTATTAAGGTAAAACAATTTCTCTTGCAAAGTATAGATCAGAATCCTGATGCTTCTACTTTTATTTCCATTGTTGTACACAATATTGATTTTGCTCTTAGAGCAAAGGGTCCAAAATCCTGACAGAGGATATCAACATTCTGTTGCAGGAGAAAGTTCTCTCCCTCCTAATGATGTGTGTGCAAGTGGTAATACATTTACAAGGACGTTGTACCCTTTACTACAATAAACATGTGGAAAATGTCAGTCCTGCAGAGGCCTTGTGGATTGTTTGGTAATTCTTATGGAAGAGTTTGTCAACTGTGGCTTTTTAAGGTCCTTATAATAGTGTCATATAACAATGACTAAATGGCTTGAAAGAGATGATTTTACATTTGTAGTTGTCACTAATTTGTAGCGTTGGCTTGTGATGATGCAGTCAAAGTAACAGGTTTCAGCTTCAGAGGAAAGACTGTAAGAATTTTTCTTGTTAGTGTTGCTATACCTGACAGACAAACTAGGCTGCTGCACCAGATCAACCTTTCATTATTTTCTTATTCCATTCTGTCACTCAAGGGCTCTTATCTTTCCTCCCTTCTTTCACACATTTTATGGCAAAGATGTCCTTCAATGGTCCTAATACTGCGACAGCTGCCAGATATTGTCCTACTTTTGCAGCAAAACCCCCCTCACGTTCATTGAGGAATCATTTTAAGACAAGTGCTTAAAGTGTTCAAAAAGGAAAGGGACCCTGCAGCCCACTGCAGCATCAGGCTAGCACTCTAGCATCTTCCATATTTTTTCCCTTGACATCTCTGGGGGAGATCCTACCTTTGCATATTTGAACTGGGGAAAGCAGCTCCTACAAGCAAAGTAGGAATGACTAGAATTCACTGCTGTAGCACTTCTGTAGGAGAAGCTCTAATTCTAGTAGAAGTTTCCAAAAGTCAACTGGTCTCCAGAGTATTTCTCATAGTTATCTCTCTGCACAGATTCCACAGGCCAGATTAGCCCTTGCAATAAATTAAATGCAACTGAGGCCCAGAGCTGTTTTCTGAGTTGGAGTAGTAGAGCGTCTGGTGTGGAGTACTTCTATTGCATTTTAGAACTCCTGCAGTATGTAAGAGAGAACCAACAGAATGCACTGCCTCCTGGCACAAGATACCCACATCGACTTTTAGGACAAGGGGTCACGTCACTTCGCTAAGACTGATGTCTCTTGTCTACAGGTCATCTGAAAAAAGTTCATTTCCTAAAATCTGCAGTGATACTCTCAGGGTAAACACGAGGTTTTAATGTAAACACTGTGCAGCCAATCATCTACCTAGCAAAATGTAGAACTGTTTTTCATTAACAAACTTAAAATTTTACGTATTTAAATTTTACAGTGATAATTGAAGTTCTGAATTTTAAAAGAAAAAGTTCTGGCAAGGTAATGGGTAAAGGATAATTGGGCAGAAAAAGAAGCATTTATCTGAGGTTTCATTTAGCAGAGGAAAGAAATCAAGTTACTCAATTGTTTCAATAACTGAAAGGAATAAATTGAGACTATTTGACCTACAGCACCCTATGAAAAATCATGCAGAAGTCTCAACATTAGAATTGGCATTAGAATAATGCTCAGTTTCTACTTACTTCAACTGAGTACACGCTGATTTTTATTTAAAATTATTTAACAGGAAGGAGACAAAAAACAACTTACGTCAACACTGATGGTTGTCAGAACCTTCATCTGAAAAATCAAGAAAGATATGGTCACAATAACAAGGCAGTTCTCAAATTAAAAGTCTAAACAGAGTAATCTCTTCTCTTCATAGGAAGCTAAGAACAATAATTGCTAACTGAAAGAGCAGGTGGTTAAGATCTGAGAAAGATCTTTAACCTGCCTGCTGTCTGTTGCCCTTTATATTGCGAGGAACTTAAAACTTCTCTTTCCCTTACAATTGTTTCATAGTTTCTGATTTGGTTTGGGGTTTCTACATTGAGACGTTGAAGTGAGGAAAATAAGTAAAAAATCCTCATTTTTACAACAGAGTGCAGATCAGCTGGACTTCTGAGGGAATTGTGCTTTTAATGGTTTTTGACAGCTAAAACAGCATCAGCTCCTGTGAGAAATAGGATTTATCATATAGAAACCCAAGCTAACGCTGGCCCAATGCCATGTCAACTATTACCAGCAAAAGTCCCTGGCAGAGACAGTACTTCAGGCTGCAAACAGGAATAACCACATTGGTACACACCTTTCACCTAAGTTAACTACTGGTAGACAGAGTAACACGTGGCTGAAAACCTGAAGTGTTTAAAGTGTCACCTCTGTCCAGCAGAGACAGGGTTATCTTCTATGTCTTTCAACAAAACTACTAAGTTTTCAAAAGCAGTTTCAACCTTTTCTGTTCTGAAACACCCACAGATGATTTTTCACCTCCTCTTGCCCCTGCCCCTGATCAGTAATTACTCAACGGCACCTTATACCCATCCCAGCAATTCCACATTTCATAAACCAAGAAGCTAGGATCAAAGTCTTTCTTCCCACAGAAGTGAGATGCCAGGTGTCATTATGGACAGCCTTTGAGCAGAGTTTAAGAGTACTGTTAACCAAGAGATGGCTATCCGTGCACTGTATCAGACTTGGCTTTATCAACAGTAACTAAAATGTGTCCTTAAGGCCGCCTACTCCTACAGGTCTTACGTGCTGGTCAAGGCAGTATTCATCTGAGAAACTGAGCAATGAAAGTGTCTCATATTCTGGAGTAACCTGGAAGTAGTTGATGGCATAAAGCTGTACACAGGTGTTGAGTCATATTAGGCCCACATTCCTTGCAGAAAGTAATGCTTAGCCCTCAAATAGAATAATGGAGTCATAGAATAATTAATGCTGGAAAAGATCTTTAAGATTATCAAGTCCAACTGTAAAACTAACGCTGCCAAGTCTACTGCTAGATCATGTCCCCAACAGCCACTTCTACACATCTTTAGAACACCTCCAGGGTGGTGACTCAACCACTTCCCTAGGCAGTTGCAATGGTTGACAACTCTTTGGGTAAAGAAATTATGCCTAATATGCAATCCAATCCTCTCCTGGCATCTCGGGGCTGTTGCAATGCCTTAGTCATTTTTCAGAACATAGCTTTCTAAGTGGGAGTTGAGGTTCCCAATTCACTGTGTTAAGCAGCTGGGTATAAAATAATTTACATTGCAGTCACTGATGTTAGATAACATCAGTCCAGTCTATGAGGAGGCAGCAATTCAACTTGAAAATAGCAGGTAGGGGGTAGGGAGGAGAGTGTTTTTAATCTTATACTTTGGGAAATTATTTTTCATAGGTACATAAGAAGGATAATGTTCTGGAGGACAGGCTTTCAAATAAATTATTTCAGCATTTACCAAAACTGCAGTACTGCTTTGTTATTTAATCATCCACAGGAGTCCTTTCTTGGTTTAAATGCTCCTGTCATAAGCATTATGCACTAATTAGCTAAAACCCCTAGAAAGCATTAGTGCTGCTTTAAAGTTTTACTGCATTGCCTGAAATAAATTTTAAAAAACTGGTTGCATTAAAATTGTACAAATGTAAAGCACCACTGAGCACAGATGTGTGATAGCCTGGGTTTCTGTATGACACCTTCTATCTCATAGCCTCTACAGGCACATACCTTTAAATAGTACTATAATCATCTGGGAAATTAATGTACAAACTTTAGTTTAACAGCATCTTAAGCCTGAATTTCTACGTATAATGGTACAGATATCCTTACATTTTACTGATGAGGGAGCTAACTGTGAGCCAGTGTTATGCAGACTGTTGTAAAACTCATGACTTTCAAGCTTCTAGATGTTGCTGTATTGAATAAATCTTATTTGCAAACAACTGTCTCTGTCCATTCTGGATATTTTCAGTAGCTGTAGAAAACAGTTAATTCTCCGATTTCCACTCTATATCTAAAAGTTAATTCCACTAGCATATTTTTTATTTAGGGAAATCTTTTTTAAACAGAAATGCAGATTATTTTCAATTAAATGAATTTCTATGAAGAATGTCCGTTATTAGACATCTCTACCTTCTATCAACTTGTGTGGACTGTCTAGTAGGTTTATAATTGAAAAGAACAATGTATATTTCCTGCTGTAATTAAAAATATAGAAATAGTTAACTTTAATAAGAAAGAGATGTAGTTTTTTTATGGGAAAATTTAAATGCTAGATCACAGTTCACTCAGTTCTTCTATGTACTGCTAATGGAATAATAAAAGAGTTTGATTTAGAATTACCTGTTTGTTAAACACAGTTAGCAGTCCTTTCTGAGAGGCTGTTACTGTGAGATGCAGAAGGGGCACTTTCACTATACCCTTGATCACATCTTTTCTCTTGACAACTGTCAATGACAAAATATTACTCTTCATCTTACAGACATGGAAAACATAAACAAATAGAATCATATTATTAAGGAAAACATAAACAAATAGAACTTATTAGTAAGAACAGTTTCTCTTCCTGAAAGGCGTTTTGGTGCCATATGCGAGGCAGTGATGCAAAATATCATAAATTATCCCATACTTGGTTTAATTAATCATGTTGCATTTCAAATATCATTAATAAAATAATTCTGGATGTGCCACTTCTTCCATATTTTCAAAAATACAGAAAATGTGTAACTGCAAAAACAAACAGTCTAGTTCAGAAAAAATCATACTTTCAAAATAATTTAGGAATATGAAGAACTGGGAAATGCAGCAGTGGAGTGTTCAATGTTTAGTAAAAATGCATGTATTTTGGAACACAGAAGAAGAAGCAGAAGAAGAAAAAGAAGAGGAAGAAGAAGAAGAAGAGGAAGAAGCATGAATGGGCAAAGACAGACATGTGATCTTATCACCCTACTTTCAAGAAAGTGAGCAGCACACTGCATTAGAAAAAATATAGTTTTTGATGCAAGATGAAGTAAGTCACCTGAATGAGTAATCTGTTGTTTTTCAGATACAAGCAAAACTATATTTTCTTTCGAAGGGGAAGGCATGACAACACTTTCTTCTCTAAAACAGCCAAAAATCTAAACAAAACAAAATAGAACTAAACAAGTAATTTATTGCAAATATACTTCTTGAAGATACATGTATAAAGTCAAATAGTTATCTCACACTTTATAATTCAATATTCTTTGAGTAAGTACCTTAGTATTACTTCCTTTAACCATTAGCTGTCAATATGACTTTAGACTGCTGAGATCTGATACTCAGGCACAATCTTTCTTCAATGTTTGTAAAGAAGTCAGCTTGCACAGGGCTTCTAGGAATGCAGACCATCTATTCTTTAAAGTTGTTGGTACAGTTCTGATTTGTAAATAACCATATTCAATTTCCATTTTCCAGTTCTACCTACCTGAACTAGGGGAAAAAAACCAAACCAAAACTAGCAAAAGGCAGACAAAACAGACAACTCCATACTTACAAACAAAGACATTACATGCAGCATAGTGGTTTAGCCAACACGAAAGACCTTTTCCACAAAGATATGTAGATTCCCATTTGCTTGAAAAGAAATATAATATAAAGACAATCTTTAAAAAATCCTTTTTTTGCCATGTCCCTAAGTCTGACAAGGTTCCATATGAACATGATAAAGATCTCTGCACAGGATAGTCAGGTAAGCAGATTATTTCTGCTCCAGCGTATGAAATTTTCAGCTGAAATGCTCTACAAATCTCATGCTCTGTACCCAGAAGTAGTTTAGTCATTTCTTTAGTAAATTAGTCCCACTTATCTGTACAGATTTTTTTACACTAATTTTTCATATTATGGACATTACGTATACTTCCATTCCTGAGTTCTAAAAGCAATGCTTCTTTGGATGGGAGACAAAATGTTGTATTTTATTCTAGTTCAGTATTTTCCATGTTATACAATAGAATTCCCATTTTCATTCTTTGAGAGATTCAGATGTACATCTTTAAAAAAATACTCTCACACAGCATTACTCTTCATCTTTTCACTTCACAGCTCCCTCCTTTCCATATACACAATTATTAGCTATCATACATCCAAGTTTTTCAAGAAAGTTTGCAGGCAAGCCATAATAAAAGACTGTCATCAGTCAGCTCACACTTGGTAAAATTTGAGAAATGCTCATAGAAATGGTCCTGGGGAATTTTATCCCAAGGAAATCATGCACAGATTTCAAAAGGAAACTGAAGAGGCTTCACCTCTTTTACTACATCGCATACTGTGCTTGCTTGTGTAATTATGTACCCAAATTATTTATGTAATTATGTAATCTGGTAACTAGCCTGACTGCATTAAAAACTCAATAAGGTTTTGGAGTAAATGATCTGCACTCCAGCAAACATACAGAGCTTCCCCTTTTTCTCTTATAAACTAATGAGCCTGAACATAATTTGCTACTGTTCTGCTACCCTAAAGAAAGGACAATCAGTCCTTCAGATTGTCAGCTATTTTCCAGATTTGCCCCAGGCCTTCCTTGAAGGATATCTTCAGTGGCTGACGAGAGCAAAATCTGCGATTAATGTGACACTGTAAGTAAAAACAATGGTTAAGAAAGATAGTAACCAGAAATGTCCCCATACAGAACCTTATTAAATAGAAATGGCTGAACACACTGTATTTAGGATGATATTAGGAAATCACTTGATAGCAATTGTTGATACCATGTAAGGAACAGATGGTTGGGTATCTTCAAGGTTCCAATATTAGCATGATGTTCCAGAGTAACATAAAATGTAAATATGCTGACTAATTCATAGTTCATGTCACTTGCTAATACCCTGCCATAAGACTTTAAGTCCAGCAAGGATTTTCCACGTATACCACGCCTCCTATGCTATTGTAGGAAAGTCACTGTATGCTGCAAGTTACGTCCCTTCTGCACAATTCTGTCTTTGGGTAAGAAACAATCAAAAAAGTCTTGCAGTAATACATGATGATGGGTGTTCTTGATAAAGATTGGCTCTAACAATCTAAGAATCAGTAATTTTAAGGAACAGTTACCTGAAACACTATCCATGGTAAATACCTTAATAAAAGACACATTTCTAGAGCAAGTGTTCATTTCTCAAGACATGTGCAAATAAAAAAGAGCGCCATGCTTAAAAAAACCTGACAAAGTACTTTTTCACAAAATGTGAAAAACTGGGTGCTGTGGAGATAATCTTCTCAGGTGGATTCAGAAATAACTTACAAATGGATAGATTAAAAACCCAGGAAGGGAGTGCACACAGAGTGCATTTGCAACTCTGGCAGAGGAAATCCTTAATATATGTGCAGACAGATGCAAAGAGGGTAAATCGGATCTACTGTTTCACTATTTAACCTCATTCTTACATGCTTTTTACAAAGGTTTGCTATTTACCAATATTAGAGACTGAAAAATTGATTACAAACATCTCATTCATCTACAGAACTAAATAATATATGCATTAATTCTCTGGTTCAAAAACTCTACTAAAATGCTGCCCTACCTTTAAGACTTCCTGTTCAAAGTAAGGGTCAGATTTATGCTGTGAACAGAGGAAAAGAAAGGCAAGGAAACAGAGGTAAGAGAAAAGAGAGGAAAGGGGAAAAAGAGGAAGCATTTCTGAAGGTTTAGCTAAAGATAGACTTATCCTCAGAGCACAAATGGCATACTGTCATCATAGGAGATTTTGCATTTTGTCAAGAAGGCTCAGGACAATGCACATCACTGAAGTAGTTCTGCAGACTGAACACACCCAGGCTTCAGGCAGCTAGGATAAATAACAAGAGAGTGCCTCATTCTGCCTTGGAGCTCATGAACAACAGACTTGTGAACAAGACATAATCAACAGATAAATACTGTCATTATTTAAAATTCTATTTAGTTTTTAATATGTAAGAAAATTTTAGAAATCTTTACCTCAAGCCATTCTGGCCTTTCACCAAGGTTGCTCATAATCTTCCTGAAAAACGCCTGAATATTCTGATCCTTGACTGCTGAACCAAAAAGTGTTCGTGTGGTTGTATAGAACTTTTCATAATCTATCTCATCTGTATGGGAGGAACAATGTCCACACAGTTTAAAAACTGGCAAGCTACAGATTCCTTTCTTATCCACCCTATTTCTGGTTTTATTTCTCCTTCAATACCAATAGTATGGAAGTTCCAGCTTCTCACACTGTATTCACTAAAGCATTTGAAAAGAAAACAAAAAAATCAGTCCGAATATTTGCTCTTCTCAAAACTACCTAATTTGCAATCCATGACATGAAACAGATAAAATACTAAATAAAAAATTCTCACTTCTTTTTTCTTCCCTTACTTACCCTCATTATTTACAATTAGTAACTGTAATTACATAATTTATCAAGTTTGTGCTTTTACAGAAATAAGTTAGCATCATGCTAACTTCTATATGTGGCAACTCCACCAATTATATTTTCTGAGTGATCACCATGGCCCTATAATTTGACCAGAAATCCTAACAGAAGAAAAGAACTTTCACAGTGCAATCTCTCTATTTCCTGTAAAAATCAAACAGTAACAGTTAGAACACTAGTTGACGGAAAGGATCATCTCTCCATGATATGTTCTCTCCATGTGAACACTACACTTTATATCCGAATTAGTATCTCTTACCATCATCTTTAGTATACAAGCCTGAACTCTCCTTGGTCTTCTGGATGATCAGTTTTTCAACTAGATTCTGGAACTGCTCCAAAGCATTCTTGAAATCAATCAATTCAAGAGCAAAGCAACCCTCCTTATCATGACCCTTCTTTCCAGACATCCTTTATGAAGAGAAGACAAGGAGAGCTCTTTTTACAGCCATGTCCAAGCCTTGCTTTGTTCCTTTAATTTCCACATGAGTTCATGTGAGATGCAGCTGCATGACAGGTAGACCAAACATTACATATTAAAAAAGAGGAGACCCTGGCTTAGCATCTCGAGCTGGCAAACAGTGGATGAACTGTGAACTATGGATGTCACAACATCCCACGACATCACAGAATCCCACTTACTGAGTACCCCCAGGTCATGAACCAGGACCACTAAGTAACCTGGCATGTGAGATTATTTCATTTTATCTCATGCAATTTGCGCCAGAAAGACTTTGTGCTTTTTTTCACAGAATAGTTAGGGTTGGAAGGGACCTCTGGAGATCATACAGGACAACCTCACTGCCAAGGTGACACAGGAATGCATCCAGGTGGTTTTTGAGTGTCTCCAGATAGGTGCTTCCCCCCAGGCTTTTAGTAACATTTTTCCAAATGTTTCTTTGGGGAGAGAGCTGAAGGAGTGGAGAGCATTAAGCATGTATTAACTGCATGAATAAATCTGACCTTTAGTTGTACTTTCACCTCCTTTATGTTACAGATCAATAACCATCAGCCATTTATCACTACATGGAGCACACAACTTTTTTCTAAAGTATAACCTGTAGTAAGGGGTCAAATGGTGATCTTCAGACACAAAAACATGGAGAATCCAACACACTTGTTTCAAAGCATAATTGCACATACTGTTAAAATTTAAGCCTCTTTGTGTGGTTTATGCTTCCTTTCAGCAGTTCTTGTAATATCTTCACTAATTTAGTTGGTACATTCTTGTACTAGGGGTCTTTTTACATGGACTACTTCTCCTTTCCTTTAGGTTTCAATATAATTGTGATTCTTATGCACATTTTTCATATTTTCAATATCTTCAAAGGATATTGATGCCATGTTACTGAGCTATACCAGAACAGGCAAATGGTGAATTTCGGACTATTTGTTAAACTCACTTTTCTGTAGATCACACTGATCAATTTCTTTGTATTGTTCTTTAGCTACAGATCTCCAGATCCACTTTGCTATTACTTCACCCAAGGTTGATGCCAGCTTTACTGGATAAAGCTTTCTTGGATTCCTGAGTGTGGAGTCTTAGCTCTGTGGAGACACTGTAGTTGAAAAGGAGAAATTATATTTTATATTTCCTCATTGCAATCTAGAGGATTTATATCAAACAGGCATGTTTCAAGAATATTCCAGTCACTTATTCAAAAAACCAAAACAAATACAGGCAGTAGTCTTCACACACACTCGGCACATCAGCAAACAACATTTTTGAAACATATAGGGAAAGCAACTAATTGGTATTAAACAGTTACAAAAAATAATGCATGGAAATATCTCTGCATGAAATAGCTAGTTCTTCAGGGAAAGTGGTGCCTCATGATATGCTACCTAACACAAGCAATCCAACAGCCTGGAATTCCAACATTTCAAGGGGAAGAACACAAAAGTTTTTGCGGACTTCTGCTCTACTGCAATGAGCATTTCTTTTGATTAGAATAAGGAAAAGAGCTTGGCAGAGAAAAGCAGCAATGATACCTGGAAAAGGGAGGGATAGCTTGAGGATATATTTTTGCTGTTTCCAACAGTAATTATCCAGCAAAATATTTCCTTTGTGTGTCAAGGTACTCAGTGGCTGGTCAGATACTACATCTTGGTCAGAGCTGTGTATTTGACATACTGCCTCCAGCTGAATTCTTGTTATGCAGTGCTTCCTGTTGCTTAATTTTTCCAGTCTCTCTCATCTAAGCTTGTATGACATCAGGTCGTATTCTCATTTCCCAGTTAAGATCAGTGGTTTAAGGTTCATAAAGGGTATTTAGCATCCATCCTCAGAACAGAGGTTAAGAACAGAAATCTATGTTTTGTTCTCTTACAAAAACCCATGTAGAAACTTCATGTTATATAACACAATGAAAACACAAAGAAACCCCAAATGAGGAATCATTGCTTTCAGTACCAGTTGATTCTGTTGTCGTAGGTGTTTAAAATAAAAAAAATACAGTAGAATTTAAAAATAAGATGTGATGACTGAGTGGACTGAAAAAAAAAGTAGAGAAGATATGAATTGCATTAGAAGATAAGTGAAGTCGAAAAGGCAAATTCAATATTTAATTGATGAGTCAGGAAGTCCTTGCATTAGTAGCCCTACAGCGGCATTAACTGAATGAAAAGCATTTCCTTCACTGTCTCTCTTACTGATAGTGTGGAAAGCACTGGAGATAGAATACCATATAATTGATGGATATTCAGAAGTTGCCTCTCTCAACTCTTCTTACCATATAATCTTATTAGTCTCAGTTATTGGAAATTCTCACATACAAAGATAATTATATGTTCATACGGTGCAAAGAACAGCTGCAGCAAGTTCATTGTAGGATTGGCACCTCATTTGAAAAATCAGTAATTTTAAATCTTTATCTCAATAACTACCATAAGTCTACGAAATGCCATGCAAGTTTTAAAATTCTGACCATGTAATTTGATGACTTATAGCAAATAACCCAAACCTACTGAAGAAGACAAACAGCAAAGGTGATGGATCTTTTTTCCTGCTTGTACCAGGCTGCCACTCACTCCTCCTGGTGGTCTCACACAAAAGCAAATTCTCCCCAAGTAAAATGATTGTTCAGAACAGCCTGAAGTGGATCACACAGTGAATCTAAACTGGCCTTAATTGTCCCTAAAGAAGCTCTGGGACATAAAAGACTGCTTCTGACTCTGATTTTGGTCAAGGCCAGTCATTTAAAAGGAAAAAAAATAATCAGTCCCTGAAGATGCTTTCTTGTGATAAGCTTACCCATCCTTTGCTATCTCTTCCTTATAAATGTCCCGTTAAACCTGTCTGTGTTTCAGTTGAATCAGGATAGAGATGCTTCAGTTCAGACTGACTGAACTCCTCACTAGTATGGGGCTGGGCAAGTAATAAGCTTTAGCATTGTAAAAATTAAATTTCTTCTATGAAACAGTGTTTAAGGAGTGCTATCATACTGACATTTACATTAGCTCACTCTTTTTTTCTACTGGCTCAAATTTTCACTTTTCTTTTGATATTAACACCCCACGAGCACTCCTTGCTATAAAGTGCATCTGTTCCTCTCTGTCACTAACGGCAGCTGAAATGACCAAGTGATAGTTTTAAAAATTGTATTTCCTATGAACTATATATTGATTTGTATGTTGGGCTCTGGAAAATGACAAGGCAGTCAGCTTGTAAGCACCTTCACTTTATGTTTGTCACACTAGCAAGAAGCTGCAGCATAAGTATGAACTACTATGCAAGGTTATTCCTTAAAAGAACCCAATTTATATCACAAATTAATTTAAAAGCGATATTGTTGCAAACACTGGTGTTTGGTGGTCTTATAATGGTTATACTATGCTGGTGTTTAGAGTTCAGCCTGCCCTATGAGCTGTGTCTGTACAACCAAGGACATCATGATGTCAGCAGGCACAAGCATATATCACCACCTCTTTTAATTTACTCTGCAAGAAACAAGTGCCACAGAGGCATCAATATGCATCTGCCTCCTAAACACATAGCACAGTCCCACACAGGTTTCTCTAGCCAAGAAGAAGTTCATCTCATCTAACTTAGGCATCTAAAAGTTAATTATTCAAGTCATCTTATGTGCCAGTCAATAAACATTTCCAGAGGGTGATTAATCGTACTGGTCTTAAGCGCTTAACTTTCAAAGGCATCACTTAGGTGAGATGACTCACACCTGCAGCTAGTACAGCTCTTTGTACACACGTCAGGTATACCAGAGCTCACACAGCACGGAACAGGCTGCAGCCAACTTCCAGGCTGCAGCACAGATGCTCTGACTGCTCACCATCACCTCCCAGGACAGCCTGTTTGGGTCCCCTTTCCCCACTGAAAACACCTGTGCTTGCTTCAGTGAACTGTGTCTGAGCCAAGCACTTCTCTCAGCCCAGAATATTCTCACAATCTTGCAACATTAGCACTTTATCTGCTTTATGATTTAAAGTTCACATCCCAATATGGACTAGAATATACATGTGGGATTACAAGTTCTGCAAGACGAAGCCCTAGCTTAAACCTTTGCCATTAGGGCTGTGCATTTTGTGTTTTTTTTTTTTTTTTACTTAAAAAACTGCATTATCAATGAGTGTAGATCTACATTAAAAGCCTCGTTTTAATGCCAGGAGGTTGGCAACACATGAAAGATTTCTTCTGTCCACACTCACACTTGCTCTGTGGATATATCCTGCAGCTATATATAGATACAGTGAATAATCACTAGGCTTTCATCTGCCTCTAAGGCTAAAGAATAGCAAAAACAACATGTAAGAAAAAAAAATACACCAGGAGAACACTGTAAAAAACCAAAAAAACTGAAGCTAGGTAGCCAGAAATTTTGGGAAATTTTGTTTTGCTTAGAGCAGCCTGCTTTCTGGCTCTATACCATGCCCTTGGAAATAATAAGCTTACAAAGTTCAAAACATACACGAAAACCCCAGCATTATCTGACTCCTAAAAACAAATGTATTTAATATGGACAAAAGCCTGACTTTCCTGCTCACTCTCTCCTTGTCAGGAAAGATGGGAAAGAGCACATGACTTCAAAGGTACACTAGCAAAAGACAACAGAACAGAGAAAATGAGTGAAAGCAGCACAAGTCAGTGAACATAAAATTAAATAGGTCTCTTGAATGCCTTAAAGCACTCTTTTCCCACCCCACAATGTTCTCACTGCAAAAGCCCAGACATTTTTAATGCTGCACTTACAACTGAGAGTCACATTTGTGGTTTGTATTTCTACCCAAGCTTAGAGAGTAGCAGTGACTTTGAAAGTTTATTTACTCTGCTTCAGATTCTTCAGCTATAATATGTGACACTCAACGCTCTTGTGTGCTTTCTAAATTACTAAATAGTAATTTAGCATTCTAAATTACTAAATAGTATAAACTTTTGAAGACAGTCCCAGACATC